TTTGCTTCATCTTAAAATTTAATAAGTTTAATAATATGAACATTTATATTTCAACTCTCAAATAAAACACAGGGAGATATATGGAAAATATTTTTAAAAATATTTAGCTTAATTAGATGGTCTTTCATAGTTTGTGTCCACTGAAACCAGCTACAATAATACTTAAGCATTTACACCCCAAAGTAAAACCCAATAAGGGGGCTACTGCCTTTTGTTACTATAGTACATGCTTCACACAGGATAATCTTTCACTATTAGAAAACCTTAAGCTATGTAGCATTCTTAATTAAGGCCCCATTTCAGTTAAAGTAAAGCAATTTGCAATTTAATTATAATAATAATACAAATTGCAACGTAACTAATGATACAATATGCTGTTGTGTTGCATAATTAGAGCAGTGAGTAAATAAGGTTTTACAAAGCAGGAAATAAGAATAGGTGAAGGAATTGTGCTCATTCATCACCTTGCTGACTAACGAGAGCTGAAACGGAGATCAGTCACTTCCCAGCACATCCCTTGATGTGCGCCACAAAAGCACACGCTATAGACAGTTCCACTAACCTAATATAACCACCAGGCAAGTGTCAGTTTGGAAAAATCCACAAAGAGAAACAAGTGATAAAATAGTATATAGCTAAAACTAACTCATTTATCAAGAAAGACAGAATAATTATTAGGAATGCCCAGATTGTAGGCCCTGTGATAGAAATGAGTAATGGGAACATTAACTATATTATTTTAAATTAAGAACACACTGGAGAAAACTCCAAATCTAGTAAGTTTACTCTATCTAGGCTTGAATTACACCTAGAAATATGGAAATAGTGAAATGCTTGATTTTACAAACCACAGAGGTGATTTTTCTTTTGTAGGGTGGAAAAAAAGAATGCATAGGGCCTCCTGTTCACAGTAATAAGATCAGACATCAAATTTTGACATTTGCACATTAGAGAAATTGAGTTCTACCTAAAATCTAATCTACTAAAAAGGCCATGCTTTCCTTTTAGCAGAGGTGTTATATAATACACACATCTTCATTCTGCTATTGTATTGGTGAAGCTGGTATGTTAGTCGAATCAGGTCCTGTGTATGACACCCAGGTATCCGTTCAAATTACCGCTTGCTATTAAATCACAATTCCGATTAACTTACAAGATAATATAGCAGCTCTTGAATTAAGAATTATTACAGATGTAGCAAAAGAGATAATTATATATCTATTTTTTCTGAACAGATTTTTGGGACAGAATTCCTAATGTGGAACATGAGTAAATTATTTAGATTCGCTGCTATTCTCAGTTTGCACAAATGCTGAAAACCAATTTGGCTTATTGGTGTTTTGGCTACAAATGCATAAACCTCCTCAATTCAAACCACTGCTTGCTTTAAATTCAACTCGGTGAGTACTTATTATCTCTCCTTGGCACAGACCAGTTTACATTCATCAGTTACTTGAGTGAGTGTATAATATAGTAACATATAAAAAATATATTCTGCTTTACCAACCAGGCCGTGAATACCCTGAGGGAAAGATCATGTCGGTTGTCTTTTTAAATAAAGTGAAGAGAAACAGAAAATCTTCCCAGGACCCAGTACAGAAACTTTATCACAGCAGGGACTAAAATAAATGCTTATTTCTTACAACAGAAAGGTAAAGAAACCAATTATCTTCAGGCAATAATCTGAATACTAGAGGGATGTGAATAGATAACACCAATAAGTTCACATTTTTTGTTAGCATATAGGTGTTGGCAAAGAGCAGCATCCCTATTTTTAAAATTGAGAAGCAAGAGAACTATGATATTACAGACAGAATATTCTATACCTCTCCCATCGTAATTATTGCCAAAATTTTCAAAGCCAGTCAACAGTGAGTATGTAGCTACTGTATTCTAAAAAGCACCCTCAAGCACTTTTTTTCTTGTAGGAATCATTCCACAGACACTCCCTTATTCTGAGAAGATAATTAAGAAAATATGTTTTTGCCAGACATATTTTTCCCCTCTCCTTTGAAAATTTTACTGGTGACAGCCGTCAAAAAACTAGAAAAGAAGCTCCATGCCAGCTGTCCCTTATCCTCTGGCACATACTGTAAAAATACAGATACTCAGAGGAAACAGCACATATACACAGGTTGACATGAACAGCACATCCTGAAAGGCACTTATTACAGATAAATATGAAACTCTGGCTTCTTTTCCTAGAGGATATTCTTTAAGGTAATAAACAAGCCTCACAGCTGGACGGAGAATTAATTCTATGAGTATACTTGATTACGCAAAGGGATATGAGGAATTTCAGTGGATTGATATCACTATTAATTCTGCCATGGCTTATTTTGTGAATTTGGGCAAGTCAGTGCTATTTAGTAAATGGGACTGAGAATGGAAAAAATGTATAATAAAAAATTTCATACAAATTGCCCAGGAAGAAATTAAAAGTGTTCCCATCAGCTCTTGAGTGGTCACCTAATTTCCTCTAGTTTTACGGGAAAACATTAGAGAATACAATAAAATGACACATTAGTTTTTAACATATATAATTTTCCTGTAATCTTTGAAATTAAAAAATTGTAATGTAAAATACTATACATTCAAAATAAGCTTTTATAAAAAACTCCATGCCCCAGTTGATGAATTTTCAAGAGGTATAGACAATAGAGGATAATAGAGGATTCCTCAGTTTTTAAGTTTTTAGAAGTATTCCTTTGTGTACTGAAAACTACCTCCACTATACACGAAGGATAGTTTTAACTAAGGAAAAAGCCTCTTGGCTGTTGGAAGCAAACACTAAGTAAAATTAAATATGCTTGAAAAGAATCTAATTTCTTATGCTTATTTTGAGAGAGGCTAGAACTAACTGAATGATACGAGCACCTTACAATAATTGACTGAACTTTGGCAATGATGGAGGTGCACACCTCTCTCTGCTAGTTTCAGCAGGGCCTTATTTAATTACCTTCCAGGAAACAATGCAAATTAGTTCCGCAGACTCTTAGAGTAGAAGTTGGAGAGATCATTCACGTCAGTATTTTAAACTTAGGGTTCTTAGGTTCTAGGTGGGCTCCGATGGTGCTGTTAGCTTTTGGAAATTGTGTAAAAATATGTGTAGTCAGGAATGTGCATTTTATGAGGAGAGGGCCATGTTCCATCAGAATTTCCAAATGGCCTATAAACCTGAAAAGGTGCACGAAGCAACTACTGAAGTGGCCTAACTTCCAGTTTACAAATAATCCTGGGGAGCTGAAATGATTGCTGGAAAGACGCTCAGAGTGGCTGTAAAATACCTGGAACCAGGTCTCCTGATAACCACTTAACTCAGTGTATTATTATGCTTATATCATTTTTTTCTCAGAGGGTAAGTAGGAAAAAAAAAGTGTTAAATGTGCAAAGTGTTTTCATAACCAGGTCTTATTTCAGGTGGCAGAGTCGTTTCTAGGTCAGTATTTTCTATAAATACAAAGTCCAAAGATATAGAAGCCTATTATAGGTGATCTACATGAGCCAAATAAAAAACTCACAGACCTCCAAACAAACACCATACTGCCTCCAGGCCAAGCACACACCCACTCTTGCTTTGAGTCCCTGCAGTGTATGCTATGACCTTCAAGGTGGCAGAGAGAGCTGTCGGACCTCTAAAGGGAAAAGCGGATCCTGAGATATCACATCATACAATAGAGAACTCAAGTTAACATGGCCTACTTTGGTGGACTCTCCCTCTCCCTGCCTTACTGACTTAACATCCCCGCCTCAAACACACACACACACACACACACACACACACACACACACACACACACTTATAAACAGGTACAGTGTGATGTCAGGTATCGATATATAACATACAAATGAAAACAAAGCGTCACATTTAACTGATTTATTAACCAAATAATTAATTTCACTGACTATTTAAGATTAATTTCAGGAAAGAAAGTCACTAAAATAAGTAATTTAGAATAAATGTGCATTAATCCTGCCAAATCACCCTGCACATCCTCTTGGCATTTCTAAAAACAAGAAAACTTTTTAATGTATTGACGTGTGTATAAATGTCTAAGTACATATTCTATCTCTACCATTTATATACAATATGATGTTAGGCAAATTACTTAATTTCTCTGCGGTGCAAGTCCCACTAGTAAAATGGAGATAACAATGGTATTGACCTTTTTGGGTCACTGTGGGATTGAATGTGGTGATACACGCAAAGACCCTAGAACAAAGCTTGACATTTTATGATAATAAAATAGCTATCATCATCATCACCACCACCACCACCACAAGGAGGTACGTATGTAACTAATTACCTATGGGGGAGAATGGGTTAAGAAGGCAGCTTAAGATAAGACTGTTTATTGGCAAACTATTCAACTATCATAAAAATTCAAACTACTCCCTGGGAAAACACCAGAAAGTCTGTTTAGCCCAGGTTTTCTTGGAGCCAAATTCCCATGGACTTGGCATAACAAGATTCTTCACCCAAATGGGATGAGAAGGTTGGGCTGATCTGGGTCAGTGGAGCAGTTCCATTCCCTCCTTACAACTGTGGGCAGGCCAGCCCCAAGTGCTCCCCACCTGTCACACTAGTTCCTTACATGGGAGATCTGATTGGTCCAAGGTTCTGGCTCTGCAGTATCTCTGCCAGTAGCCTAATTGAAGTAAGTGCTCTTAGGACTTGGATTCTTTGGAAGTGAAATGTTTTGACAATGATTTTAAAGATAATGGGATGTTCTTGGTATCTACAGGGAGACAATATTCAACATCACCATGAATAGTGAAAACCTCAAATCACGTTTGGCTTGGATGATTCTGTTGGGGTCATACCATCCCATGATAGGGACCCATCTAAGGCCTGGAAAACTGCTAGCTTCCAACACTAGGACAGATGCCAAGACTCCCAGTGGTATCAGTCACTGACATCATACAAGAAATTATCCATCCAGTTAAACCACAATTGAATATTCCAACTTAAAATATGTTGTGAAAATGAAGAATTTTACCTTTTTATATTCAGCAATGCCCAAGGTATTCCAGAGGGAGTATGAAACGCAGGTAGCAATTTTACCCCAAGTTCCACTGCTTTCTTTCGAAATATCTGAAAAGTTAAACAGTTACGTAAGCTACTATTGTAAGCAAAACAAAAAAGTGTTATATTATCATCTCACATTTAGTACTTTCTACTTTAAAATTTTCTTTATATGAAAAAATAAGTTTCTCAAATTAATCGAATTACCTAGTAAAGCAAGAATGGTCCAGGGGCCACCGTGCTGTGGGGAATCTATTACTAATCTTGGTTGCACATTAGCATCATGTTGAGAGATCTGAATAATATGGACGTCTGGATCGCACTCTCAAGATTCTAAATTCTATGGTTTGAGGCTCCCGGAACACAATTTTTTTTAAGCACCACAGGTGACATCAGATGATTCCAACATGCAAACCAGAGGCAGAACCAGGGCTGCTGGAGGGTAAGTCCTGGACTGAAAATCGGGAGATCTGGTCCTGTCCCATCTTTACTGATTCAGTAGAGCACAGAGAAAAGAGAAGTTTTAAAAACATATTATTACAAGTAACCTATATGTCCTCTCAGTTCTTTGCAGTTTTAACTTCCTCTGATGTTAAGTGTAGGTGAAATGGAAGACACAAAGTTAAATTAGGTACAAGTTATGCCCAGAATTTATAAGGAAGATGATATATGCACATAAATATCTAGAACATAGATAGAACGACAACTGGAGATAAAATCATCTGGGAGTTCAGATGCACTCTGTAATGCTCTATGGTGAAGACAGCATTTAGATGAGGGCTGTACTCAGCATGTAATGGGACTAGGAATACTAGAAATTAAGGCAGGAAGTGGAAGCGGTATCCCTGGGGGCCGTCAGTGTAATAAACACAGACACAGGCAAGTGGGGACCTATAGCAGAAATGGAATAGGTCAGCTTGCCTAACCAAAAAAGAGGGAATACTGGTAAACAAGGCCAGACGTATGCAACATGGGCCCAAACTGTGGAGTGTCATAAACGTAAGTCTAAGAATTCTATTCTGTTAAAATGGGAAAATATCAAAAGTTTTTAAGCAGCCAGTTCACTTGAGCACATTGTGCCTTAGGAAGGGTAATGAGATGACATCCATTCAGTCTCACTGAAGGAAGGCATGCTACAGCTTTCCCTGTGACAGTTGAAGCAGCAAGCAGGTGCCTCGCCCCTTCTCCTTCCTATACTGTATAGGACTGAACATGGTGGGATGGGAACTTAACTATTTCCCTTTGCCTCTTGCTCAAACAACGGAGATGTGAGAAAGGCTGGGGAAACCCTGAAAAGCATGGAAAAAATGGAAACAAAGTCCTCTCCCAGACAGTGGAAAAGCATTCTTTAAACCCCCTGTCAAAGAGGTCTTGTGTAGCATCTCCAGAGGGAACGGTTCCAGTCCATAATTCCTGCTGTAAGTCCTGAGCCCCCCCACAGAGAAATCCTGGCATACACTTGGGCTCCCAGAATGAATATACTCCAGTAATACCAATGTTGATGTTATTTTGAAAACCTACTCTTTTGCAGACTCTCATTTAGTAATGAAAATTAAGGAAGTAATGAGTTTTACTATAAAGTTTTGGTTGACAATCAGTTTAGATAAACTAACATTCCTGGTATAGAAATGAGGACACAGACATTTGTAATACATAGAAAGCACTAGAAAACAGAGGGTTTTTCCCCCCACAAATTATTATAACTCTCTTTAAAGTGGACAATTTCCCATTTCAATCACTAACAGTATATCGAAGGAGAGGAGGAAAAAAAAAAAAAAAAAAAAACAACAGACCCAAAGATATATTCTTCTCTTTCTCTGCCTTACTCTATAGAATTCTACATTCTTTTCTGCTGAAAGGGATTATCCAATCACCGCCCAGCCATCTGTTGACTTCCTAGTTTCACTTTTTAAACTGTTAGTTAATTAACTCCTTTTTCAAGAAACTTACATAAGATGGAAGTCAAACGATGCAATTAAAATACCATCGTGGATATTATAACCATATGGCGTGGGAGGTTAAGGATGCAGGCTTTGAAAACACAATGCCTATACTTGAATATTAGTTTCAACTTCTTCAAATTGGGTATTCTTGGACAAGTTGCTTAATCCCTCTATGCTAAGCTTCCACATCTATAAAGTGGGGATAACAATAGTATTTACTGGTGTGCCTGGGTGATTCAGTCAGTTAAGCATCCAACTCTTGATTTCATCTCTGGTCATGATCTCACAGTCTTGAGATCAAGCCCTGCATCAAGCCCTGCTTTGGGTTACACGCTGAGCATGGAGCCTCCTTAGGATTCTTTGTCTCCCTCTTCTTCTGCCTCATCCCCCCCTCAAAAAAAAAAAAAAGCCCACAGTTGCATTTACTATTTTAAAGATTGTGGAAAGAAATGACTGTTTCTATATTGAAGGATCTTAGGACATGCAGCAATCACATTAAAAGGTTAGCTGTATCATTATGGTGATAGTGATAATGGTATTTCCCTAAGAACTTTCCCTAGAAGGAAATGCTTAAAATTCTTTCTTGTCTTGGCTTTTATCCCACTGCTGTTTTGGTACCTTCTCCTCAGGTTGTGTGTGTGTGTGCTATGACCCCATTACACATACTCTTATCATCAGCATTCATTCTCAAGAGCTAAGCCCTCAGTTCTCATCACCTGTTTGCATTTTCTAATTCAACCTTCCATGTCAGCTCTAGTGCTATACTTCTACTTGTGTACTCACATCACAATTTGGGTATCTTGTTGTCTTCTGAAACAACATGTCCAAGATGAAATAATCACTTAATATTCCAGGCAAACTTCCCCAGTTCCATCACTGACACTGTTCAACCAGTCCGTGGGTCCCAAGAGAGGAAGCATTTTGACTATTGATTTATCACTCTTTAGTCATCAAATGTCAATGTTCATTTCCCCGAAATGTCTCATATCCAATTCATTCCCTTTCTGTGATATGAGCATAGTCCTCATTTTCATCACCAGGTACAATGAAATGGCATGATAAAAAAAAAAAGAAGGCCCTCTTGGGGCGCCTGGGTGACTCAGTCAGTTAGGCATCTAAATTTGGCTCAGGTCATGATTGTGGTTTGTAAGTTTGAGTCCTGCATCAGGCTCTGTGCTAACAGTTCAGAGCCTAGAGCCTGCTTCAGATTCTGTGTCTCCCTCTCGCTATGCCCCTCAGTGAGCGCGCTCTCTCTTTCTCTCTCTCTCAAAAATAAACAAACATTAAAAAAAAAAAAAAAAAGGAAGTCTCCCATTCTCCAGGATTTCCCTTCCTGTTTCCATTAGTCTGTATCTGTATTACCGAATCTTTTTACTATACGACTTTCTTCTTCAAGAAACAATAATGATTCCCTCTTGTCTAAAACATCAGGTTAAAACCGATCTGCTGACTTTTCAATGACCTCTATGAATGAGACCAATTTATTGTCTTCCTTCTCTCTAAGACCACTCTAGCTCCAGCTTGAGTTTTCACGGTCTTGGTCACTCATTCAAGGTCCATCCACTTTAGTATCTTTTTTTCTTTCTTAAGTGATTTTCCTCCCAACTTTACTGAGATACAATTGGCATGTAAAATTGTATATACCATGATGATCTGATTCATGCATACACTGTGAAATGATTACTACAATAAGCTTAGTTAACATCTCTATATTTTTGCATAATTCCTTTTTTGGGGGGGGGTGGTGCAACCTTTGTATACTTATTTGTAGAGTCTCTCACCTTGAAACACTCTTTTCTGCCTCCTGGTGACCAATCCAAATTCACCCATTCCTCAAGGCCCAGTCTAAATCTCAACTCCAGGCCAAGATCTTTGCCTTATGTGAACTCCTACACTGACAACTAGCATCACATAATGTAGCATTTGATTACAGAAATCAAGATATAGATCTCTAATGCTTTCTTGTGTGACTCTCTTGTACCCCCAAGTAACTTTCTTTTCTTTCTACAAGTAGAGAAAAACACCTCCATTTCTCCTCACTGCCTATTATACATATCCAACTCAGATTAAGTCATTTTGTGTTTATTTAAGATTTTTAAATGTTTATTTTTGAGAGAGAGAGAGGGAGAGCATGAGTAGGAGAGGGGCAGAGAAACAGAGAGGGAGATGAATCCAAACCAGGCTCCAGGCTCTGAGCTGCCAGCACAGAGCCCAACATGGAGCTCACACCCACGAACCCTGAGATCATGACCTGAGCCGAAGTCAGATGCTTAATCAACTGAGCCACCCAGGTGCCCCAGGTCATTTTGTGTTTAAATTTATTGATATCACCACAGTATTCCTATGAGTAGTGGGTGGGAGAATATTTGTATTCTCAGTTAACAGAGAGAAAATCGCAACCCTGTGTCTTGAGATTCCCTAGTCCACCTTTGCTGGCTCCCTAGCTCTCTGCATGCCTAGTTCATGCTTAGCTTTAGGAATCCACTTTCATGACCCTTTTGGAGGTCTTTCTTAACAACACCATGTAAAGTTAGCCATTCCATTTACTGTTCATCATATCATCTTGTTTATTTCTGTCCCACCATTTATCACGTCCCTAATTAATGTATTGTTTATTGTTTGACAATCCCAGCAGGCATAAGCTTCACAAGGGCATGGACTGTTTTCTTTGTTGAGGTATACATACACCTAGTATCCTATAATGTAGCTGGTACTCAGTAAATGTTCATTTAATGAATTAATCCAATATTAATAAATATACCTTGGGCTCTGTAATCAGAAACCAATTGATATTCTAGTGTCTGTGAAGTGCTCTATCCTATTCTACTAGTTTCTGTTGCTGGAAAATAATGAATTATGTCAAATATTGTGGAGTCTCAACCCTTGGGCACAATTACAAAATAGTTTTGGGTAAAAACATTAATTAACATATTCATGCTTTAAATGAAATCATATATGAGCCTGAGTCAATTCTAATTCTTAATGTTTGATTTGTTATCTCCTCCTGAGATATTAAGACAAGTTACTTGGAGGAGGAATCCAGATTCTCAAAGATAATGTCTTTCTCCTTAAAATAGTGACTATGTAATAAAATCTGAAACTAGTTTGTTAAGTTAATGCTGTTAT